TAGGATTAGGCATGGGCCACCACGCCCAGCAAACATTCCAATTTTTAAAAATCAGCCAAAGATTTAATCAAAATTTCACCAAAGAAAAGATAGCAAATAAATGCATTTTTTAAATGTTCACTATAATTAGTCATTAGAGAAAAGCAAATTAAAACTGTGATGACATATTATTACATGCTTATTATAATAGAATCGCTAAAACAAACAAAACCCAAAATCCAACTCTACCAAGTGTTGTAGAGGATCAGGAGCAGCTAGAACATTCGTATCTTGTTGGTAGGAATGTAGCATAGTACAGCCTATTTGGAAAACAGCTTGATTTCTTATCAAGTTCAAGATACAACTACCATGCGATGCAGTGATCTTACTCCCTCTGTTTACCAAGAAAAATGGAAACATATATCTGCCAAAGACTTACATATACACATGTCTAGAAACTTTATTCATAATAGCCTAAAACTGAAAAGAACTTAAAAGTCCACTGACTAGCAAATGGTTAAACAAACTGATAATCCACGGTCCATACAATGCACCACTACTCAACAATAAGAAAGGAACAAACTTCCAGTATATCAACAACATGGATGAATTCTTTTTTTTTTTTTTTTTTTTTTTTTTTTTTGACTGAATCTTGGGAGTGCAGAGACACAATTTTGGTACTCACTGCAACCTCCGCCTCCCAGGTTCAAGTGATTCTCCTGCCTCAGTCTCCCGAGTAGCTGGAACTACAGGCATGCACCACCACACCTGGCTAGTTTTTGGTATTTTAGTAGAGATGGGATTTCACCATGTTGGCCAGGATGGTCTCAATCTTCTGACCTTGTGATCTACCCGCCTCAACCTTCTGAAGTGCTGGGATAACAGGCGTAAGCCACCATACCCGGCCAACATGGATGAATCTTAAAAGCATTATGCTAAGTTGATTGAAGGTGAACACAAAATACGACATTTTGGAAGAGGCAAAACTACAGGGATAGAAGTTAGATCAGTGGTTACCAGGGGCTGGGAAGGAGTAGTTTTTCTACAAAGGGACACAAGTGACTATTTTAGGATGATGGAAATATTTTATATATTTCTATTGCAGTAGTGATTACATTACTGTATATGTTTGTTAGGGCTCATCAAACTGTATACTTGATGAACTTTATTGTTTATACATTGTACCTCAATAAATCTGACTTTAAAATGATAATAAGGACAAGAGTTAGCAACATGCCTATGGGAATGAAGTAACTTGGTGCATGCTGGTTCCAGCAGTTGTCTGGACTTCCCCCTCCCTTCTTCCTGCCCGACCGCAGAAGCAAGGCAGTCCTGCACTTTCTGGTGAGACTCAGGTAATGGGACAAGCACAGGCTAGAGATCCCTCAGGAGGGTGGGAGGTCTGGGTGCTAGTTCCAGTTCAGCTTCTGATGTTAACCTGGGCAAGTCACTGAGTCACCCTCAGCCTCATTGCAAAATGAGGGTTGTTTGTTTGTTTGTTTGTTTGTTTGTTTGTTGAGACAGCGTTTCGCTCTTGTTGCCCAGGCTGGAGTGCAATGGCATGATCTTGGCACACCACAAACTCCACCTCCTGGGCTCAAGTGATTCTCCTGCCTGAGCCTCCTGAGTAGCTGGGATTACAGGCATGTGCCACCAGACCTGGCTAATTTTGCATTTTTTTTTTTAGTAGAGACAGGTTTTTTCCATGTTGGTCAGGCCAGTCTTGAACTCATGACCTCAGGTGATCCACCCGCCTCAGCCTCCCAAAGTGCTGTGATTACAGGCATGAGCCACCATGCCCAGCTGCAAAATCAGGGATTTTCACTTCTTTCCAGGCCTATGATTCTAATTTGTAGTCCCAAAAGGAATGAAGGCTATCCAACACATTGTGTTTCCACACCGTGAAGGCCTGGGAAAAGGAAAGGGCCCTAAACTCTCCCATTCTTCAGAGGCCCATTTTTCGACCTTCAGGTACTCAAGTGGACCCTCTGACCCTCACAAGCCTTAATCCCCAGGAGTTCAACTAGAGAAGCAAGTGGTTCATCATCACTCCGTAAGGCTACAGCCCGTGATTCTTATAAATGAGGCCCGTAGACAGTAGCTTCTAAACTCTTTCAGTATCATATGCACTCTATTGTCTTAGGAGGCTTGGGCATACCCCATTTACAGATGCTTAAGAAAAACTCGGGGTCCCCACACAAAACAGCAGCCTCCACCTAGCCTCCAATCTCTGACCCAAGGGAGCTCCATCCACTCTTCAGCCTCCAGGAGGACACCCTACAAGACATGCTACATACCTCTGCAACCAGGGTGTTCTGAACTCAGTTTCTGGTCCTGAGTATCAGAGCTTAAATTTCCATTCCACCGCTTAGTAGTTGTGTGACCTTGGGTGAGATATGCAACCTCTCTAATCCACAATTTCTCCTTCAGTAAAACAGGGATAGTAATAGTCCTCATCTCCCTGGGCCATTGGGCTGATTAAATAAATCACTGCGAGTCCATCCAGATTTTAGAATAGTGTGGCAAGCAATTAGTGTTAGTTATTATGACTTAATTTAACTTAATTTGAAAACTGTCATTTCTTGTGAGTCCTGGCAAATGCAGAGGTTTCTTTGTAACTGTTCAATGTCAAAAGATGAGCTATCTCGGGGTGAAGGGAAAAGCTGCTTGTGCTGAACACAAACTAGACTCAAACTTGAAGCTGCTACTCAGTTTTTTCTCACTAGAGGTAGGTGGGGATGGGGAATTTTCAGGTTGATTTTGAAATCAAGACTTCTCCAACAAAGATGTACTTATCAAAAGTAGATTTAGGGGTATGAAGAGACAGGAAGGGTTATCCAAATAAAACAGAACCGCTCCAGTATGCTTGCAAAGTGGCTACGATACCTTCAAAGTACTGTATACAAGCCAATTTCTATTGAGGAAACAAGGTACAAAGAAACTCCCATATGGATACTAGCAGGATTTGCTAGCGTCTGGGGAAGATTATAAATTAGCTGGTTGCTGCTCACATCAGAGCCAAGCAGGACACATTCAGCTTTTTAATCTGGACCAATTTTCCGGATCAAAAACTAGTCTTTCCAAGGGATGTAAATGAGTCCAGGAGGGAAATTTCCCCTGAAGTTTATGAAGTAGCTGTCATTTTAATCTGAGAAGCTTTCCAACCTGAAAGCCAGTGTCTGGATAAAATTATAAAGTAATAAAAAAAAAAAAACTATTCTAGGTCGAACCTAGTCTAAACACTTCTCCTACCTCAAATTTGATGTAATTTAAAAGGTGGCGTTTCCACTATCAAAACCCTATCTATGCTTCAAATAAAACCAAAGAGGCCAACATGGCATATTCCTGGCATGAATATCAGAATGAACCTGAGTGAACCAGGTAGAAAATCTTTTTAGGGGAGAAACAGCAAAAAATAAGAAAGAAAATATGGTGACCCATATGAGCAGTTTTATACAGCACTTTTATGCTTTTATAAAATACTTTTTAAAAATTGCCCTTAAATGGATTAAAACATATCCTTAAAAAAGCATTGCATACACTGTTCATGCTTTGAAACTATACGTATAACTATGCTTTGTCTAAAAATTGTGACAATTAATCGATTGTTTCACGTGAATAAATCTGCAAAATGCAATTGACTGTGATGTGTGTATCTTAAGGAGGAAAGTTAGAAGCCCTGTCCTCAAATCCTTGAAGGGGTGGGGTGTGTGTGTGTGTGAGTGTGTGTGTGTGTGCAGGCAGGAAGAGAAACAAATTAATATTACCTTGGACTGAAGCTATTATCTCCAAAATGAAGAGCTCATAAACGAAATGGCTCATAATTTAAATATGGTATAGATTACGATAATGACCTTATATTTCAAGGCAGGTTAACAAGCGCTGGTAATAAGAGATATGGCTCATAGACTGAGGGCGTTCCCAGAGCCGAAGAGCAACAAGTCCTGTTTCCAGATAGTTTCAATGCCAAAATATTCAAGTATCCACATGGGATCCCGCTAAGACGATTTTCTTTGCCCTCTGATAAATTTTCCTAGCTTTCCCTCTTAGAAAAACGTTTGTGAAGACAAACTGCACTTTCTGTGAGGTTTTGCAGACTGCATTCACATAAAGTTATATTGTTTTCCATTGTTCATAAGATATAATTAATCCCATAAGACAGCCTCCCTTACAAAGTAAGCTAAGAAAGAACAGATTTTTCAGAATTCTAAATATGGTCCCAGAAAAAAAAAAGAATAAAAATCGTTATTTGGGAAACAATGTTTAGAACTTCATTGTTTAGAATGTTCTACTTTGAATAATCTCACAACATAGGCCAAATCAAAGTAGACCAAAATGCACAAAGACTTTTTACCTATATGCAGCTTGAGGAAATACAAGTTACTGTGGTTTCATGTTCTCCCCAATCCCCAATCCCTTATAACAGGCTGCAACGCACATATCTTTGTTTAAATAGCAGAGCAAAGACAGGAGTTCAAAACGCGATAAAATTAACCCACTGGGTGCTTCCTTCTGAACAAACGGCCCCAGAGTGGAAGAGGATGCTAAGCGCAGCGTCCACATCCCTGCACACCGCGTGGGCAGGACCCGAGCTGGGTAGAGGGGCTCCAGGCAACCCTTCAGACACTTAACAGGAAATGGCTGGGCTCTGGACAATATGAATTCAGTAAGACGTCTGGAGACGCAGGAGGGGCTGGTTTGACTCCTCTCTGCACGGTTGCCATCCTCTGTAATTGAGACAGCACGACCGTTGTCCCAACTCTCAGCTCTCCGCGATCAAACACGGGGACCACCACCTCCACTGTGTCTGGAAAACTGATCATTATTTTAACAAGCAAATATCCCTAGAGCCGCCCGGGAACGGGAGCGGGCGAGGTTCGCGTCTTTTCTCAGCTCGGGGCAGAGCTGAAGCGACGCTGGTTGGGGAGAGGGAGGCGGTGCGCAGCCCGCTCGGCGTCCTCGCCCGGGAGCCCGGCAGGGGCGCTCGGGGCGTGGTGGCCCCGGGCGGAGGAGCACCTTACCTGGTTTTCGGAGAGCCGCTCGGAGCGACAACGTGCCAAGTCGGAGGCTGGAAGCCAGGAGCAGGAGCCGGAGCAAGACGCCTCGGGTTAAATCCATTTCGCCGCCAGCGCCTGCAAAGTTTCACCAAGTCCCGGGCGCACGGGGAAAGGGCTTCTCCGGGGGCGGAGGCGTGGGGGACACGGGTCCCCGCGGATCCCCCGGCCGCAGCGAGGAGGTGGGCGGCAGCGGGGGCTGGGCCCGGAACCGGGGGGCAGTTCCAGGAGGCAGGACGGCAGCCGGGCGGTCGGCGTGCGGGAGGGAAGCCGGCTGCAAGCGGCAGGGCTTTTCGCGGGGGCGGGGGCGACGAAGGAGGCTGACGGGAGGGACGGGCTGGCTGCGGAAGGGAGGGAAGTTCGACGGGCCGTGGGATGGAATTACAATCGAGTCGAAGTGAGAGGGGCAGGCCCTGAAACCCTCACGCCTCGCCCGCCTTGGAAGCAGACAGCCCGCCCCTCACCCTCTCTAGCGACCCCCAGCTCAGCCCTTCCGAGCTGGTGACCTAGATTGGGGACCTGGGAGGGACCGACTTCAAGCACTGGAGACGCAGGGCAGGAGTTAGGCAACTGCGGGTCCAGGACCCTCCGCAGTCCTCACCCTGAAATCTTGGGGCGCTAGCCACCCAGGCTGGGCCCTCCTCCGGCCGCGCCCCTCTAGGTCGCTGTTACCCAGCCTGGCGACTTTTTCTAACACCTCAAAGGTTGCTATCGTTGATCCTGCGCACTTGGGGGATGCGGGGGGTAGACTGGGGTCTGTGATTTGCAAGTGGGGTGGGGGTGAGAGGAAGAGGGGCGGGGGCCGGCTGGGTCTGAGGCGCTAAGAAGATAAATGGGATTTAAGGCGCGCAGATGGAGCTGAGGCCCGGCAGCTCAGACGGGGACGCCGGGTGGGGATTACGGCCTGGCGCGGGGGAGTGGGGACCCTTCCCGGCAGAGGAAGGCAACTTGAGACCCTCCTGGGGAGGAGATGAAACTCCAAGTTAAACCTGGCGACTCGGAGAGGGACGCGAGCTCTAGTCGCAGGGAGGAGGGAACCGAGAGGACCCCCTGGAGGGCGCCCGCCAGCGGGGCTGGGGCTGGGGCTGGGGCTGGGGGCTGGGGCGGGATCCTAGCCTCTGATTCCAGGATCGGGCTTCCTGGGTTGGCTCCCTGAGAGGGAAAAGACTCTCCTCCTCTGAATTTGCTTCCCCAGGACTCAGTAAAATGTACCTTTTGCCAGATTTCGAGGCAGTGCCTGGAGAGGGGAGACCCTGGGACGCACGTCCCGTTGCGTACTGGCGTTCTGACCTCCAAACCAGCAAGAAGAGAAAACAAATACAATAAATAAACCAAGAAGGAATAAACTTAGAGGCAAACGCGGCCCTGGCCAGTTCGTGGGGAAAGATCAAAGGCACTAGGAAATGCCCCGCAGAGGAAGTCTGCAGGCACCAGCGAGAGGACCGCGCCCACCCCCGCCTCACCTAGCAGCGCTGCCAGGACTCGGTGGGCGTCCTGGCTCTTCACAGTTAGCCTATGTTTGGGAGCGCGGGAGGAAACGATGTTGACTGACATATTCTTCTCCCCTCCCCAGCCCCCCAAACACACACACAGGATTTCTACTCCTCTTTTAAGAATGAAATATCCCCTGGCTGGAGAGTTTGTAATGAGCTCAATCTTGTTAGTTAGCAAAGCTCAGTATGTTCCCTTATCTGTTCCCTTATCCCTTATTTTCAAGTGTGCAACCGTCTGTTCATAAATAAATTCAAAGTCCCCTCCAACCTGAGTATTTGTAAGTCTTAGCTGTGACACCGGAGCTTGTCCTCTTACACAGAACTGGAGCAAAGTTCAGACAGACCTATACTCTTCACTTCCAAGATGACCATGAAGCCAGCCGGCTGCTAAGCTAAGCAAAGTGATTGCCCCTAGGGCTGCTAGTCTCAAAGGTCCCCAAAATCATAGACCCTTTAGGACTACCAGGACCCCTGAAGGTCATCTAGGCCCTGCCTCCACTCCACACAGTCTGCTTTCAGCATCAGTGGCGGGTCATGCCACCTCCCTTTGAACTCCATCTGTGTTAGAGAGCTCCTCCAGCGCCAGAGTCCCTTCTTTATTCGAAAGTGATTTCTTATCTCAGACTTAACGTGGCACCCAGAACCAAACAAGTGTTGCAGTGCAGATACCTCCCATGCAGGCTTTCCTACTTAAAAATGATTCTCTGTGATACAGAAACTAGGAGTAATATTAATCGTTGATATCATGGCTACCATTTATTTAATGTCTTCTATGTAACAGAACCTCTTTGAAGTGCATTTTAATCCCAATAACAACCATACCAGGAAGATACTGTTATTACTATTCTTACCTTTTACAGATGAGGAAGTGGAAGCATGGAAAGGTTAAGAAACTTGCCCAAAGTCATGCTGCTCCCAAGAGGCAGAAACGCACTTGAATCCAAGGGGCCTGATTCCAGCCTTCAGGCTTTTAAGGGGACAAGGAGGAAGGAAATCACAGCAGTGTTAGCCAGGCATGGCAGCAGGCGCCTATAATCCCAGCTACTTCAGAGGCTGAGGCAGGAGAATCACTTGAACCCGGGAGGCAGAGGTTGCTGCCAGCCAAGATCGCGCGACTGTGCTTCAGCCTGGGTGATACTGTGACACTCCATCTCAAAAAAAAAAAAAAAAAAAACCACCAATGGACCGAGAGGATGAGGAGATGTGGATGTTTAATCCTAGGCTCTGTGTATAGTGTACCTTGGTAAAAACGAAGGGGCTGGATGAAACAATCGGTAAATTCCAGGTTTTGCTTTCTCTTTATTAGCTGATAAAACAGCACTATCTAATCTAAGCTACATTTACTCTGAATGTGCCTTTTAAAAGATCTGTGCAAATTGTCCATTGCAAATGTTGCAAGCCTGGGCTTCAGTCTTCTTGCTCATGTCCTCCACATGTGCCACACCACCTCGGCATCCCTGGCACTTGGCCTCCCTTCCATTTTTTGCAAATGATCATAAGTGATTTGGGAAACAGGCTCAGTTTCTTCAGAAGCCCCTCCTGTTTCTTCCTTGGGGGCATTAGATTATGTTGTTGTATTTTACCTCTGAGGGCCTGCAAACAGTTCAGATTGTCAGGACATTGGGATAAGACCTTATTTCACAAAATCTGCTTCAAATGTAGGGCATGTGTTACATAGAACTTACTCCCATCCTTTGCAGTTCAAATCACATCCTCCAAGTTTCCCTTTCCTTCCAGTTTGACGACCAACTGTGACACTGGTAAATCTGACTAAAGACAAATAAAACACTTGTCTTTCACTCACTTCTGGCTTTCTAAGAGGAGGGGGAACAAAAGAGACCAAGAGGCTTTGAATGTTTCATTTAAAAAAAAAAAAATCTGTTCAAATTCACTGGAGGTCTAAACTCAATTAATAAGGTTGCCCACAGAAGAGTGACCTGCCTACTTTGCTCATTATCATGGAAGAGGAATCTGACCTTTGCTGCATGAAATAGATTTGGAGGCTGTTAGAAGAAAGGAAAGGCAAACTTATCAATTATAGAATGTTTATTAAGACTCTAAAAGAGAATGACAAAGAGAAAGCAGCCAAGAATTGTCTTTTGATTTGTTTTTCTAAATCGGTTATATGTACATGTAAAATTTGAAATGTGGATCAGGCAGTGTATAGTGAAAAATTCCTTTTCTTCCTTCTACCGTCACCAGTTTCTTGGATATCCTTATAGAGACAGTCTATCATGGACAAGCTAATTATATACACATATAGTTCACACAACCAAGAGCATCTTCTATACACTTCTTAACCAGATGATCCTTTCAAATCACCAGATACAGATCTGCCTCCTTCTTACTAACTGCTGAATATTTGATTGTGTGATGTGTAATTTATTTGTTCGTTCTCCTGTTGTTTCTAGTTATTATAAACAGCATGGCATGAATGACACTGAATGTGTAATAGGTTGCACATGTTATAATAGACTATAGGGGTCATTTCTACACTAACCATTCCTTGGTCAAAGGGTAAATGCCTTTTCAATTTTGATAATTTGGCCAAATTTCCTCCCAAGGAGGTTGTACTAATTTACTCCCCAATAAGCAGTACATGCACCTAACTAATTCCATGAACTCTCACCAGCATAGTCTTACCAAACTAGAAATATATACATACATATATATTATATGTTATATTTTAATTAAGATACAACATACAAAAGTATCAAATAGTAAGTGTGCAACTTGATGAATTACAGCAAAGTGAGCACACTTGTATAACTTTTGTTAAGTACTGCCCAGATCAAGAAATAGGATGTGACCAGCATCCCCTCAAAGCCCCCCTCATGCTTCCTCTCTAGAAGTATATATTTTTGAAGAAGGATGACGGATGAGAATTCAAACCTCCTATTTATTTTTAATTAAAATACATGAATAAAAATAGATCAGTAAAAATATATAAACACTCTCCCTACTCCAATGTAAAACCAACATTGAGACTCAATCCCATTATGTGTAAGGCTTTGTGCTAAGAACAGACATAATAGGTTAGAGAAAATGCAACCACATTTTTTACACTCAAGAAGACTACAACTTTGTTGGGAGATGAGGACAGTTGCATAGCCAATTGTTCCATAAAGCAGAACAAAGGATGCCCAAAATAAAAGTGCAAATAATGTGCTACTGGGTTGAGTGACAATGACCCTGTATTAGAAATAATATATATATTATATACTGTATAATGCATAGCCATCTGCTATGCATTATGTCCTCCTTGCTTATAGGTGATTATACTTAAGTATGTAAATAAATGGGCTGACAAAGTAAATGTGTGCAATAAGCCCCCAGACTGAGAAATAATATAATACCAGGACCCCCAAAGCCTTTCATTCTTCCTACTAACCATAACCTACCGCACAACCAAATAGGTTACCATTTTCTTGATTTCTAGCACCTAGATTATTTTGGCCTGGTTTTAAACTTTGTATAGATGGAATCATGCAGTAATGTAAATATTTATGCCTCTTTTACTCAACACTATGTTTGGAAAAATTCATCCAAGTTGTGTGGTTATTCATGTTCATTGCTGTCTAGTATTTCATTATACAAGTGTTTATCCATTTTACTCCTGATAGACATTTGGGTTGTTTCTAGTTTGGAACTACAACCAAAAATGTTGCTGCGATCATTCTTGCATGTGTCTTTGGCAGACATATGCATGTGTATCTGCTGTGTATACCTGTGAGCAGAATTATTAGATTATATGATAGGCATATGTTTAGGTTTGGAAGGTATTGTCAAACAATTTTCCAAAGTGGCTATACTCATTTACACTCCCATTAAAGTATATGAGAGTCCTAGTCATTCAAAATCATACCGAAACTTGATGTTGTTTGCCTTTTTCATTTTAGCCATTTTTGTGCATGTCAGTAAT